CCCACATCTAGAAATTCTTTGGGACACACACACAATTGAGTGTCCTACAATTTAACTGAATTTAACGCTTAGTTTATCTGCGGGGAGATAGTGTCAGATCCACAGGTAAAGGGCTCAGCACCAGGAGGCTGCTCCCCATTTTGATGCCAACAACAACTAGTAGATTGCCGGCACCCTCTGTCCAATGTGGCTACACGTCGAAGGTTTCCACGACTCCCTCCTCAAGTTCTATTAATTTGCCAGATCAACTCACAGAACTGAGGTAGATACTGACTCCTTTTGTCAGTTCATTAATGATATGATGAAGGGGTCACATAAACAAATAATGAAGAGACACCTAGTGTTAGGTCTGGGAGCGTCTCGAGCACCAGAGCTTCAGTCCCTGTGGAGTTGAGGTGCATCTGTTCTGGGAGTGGATGTGTTCGCCAAACCGGAAGCTCTTCAAACCCTGTACTTTGGCATTTTTATTGAGGATTCAGGTAGACGTGATTGGACATTAACTGCACTGTCAGTCTTCCCTCCCTGTCTCAAGTATGAGGGGGTGAATATTCGCAGCCTCTGATCAAGGCTTGGTCTTTCTGGGCACCAGCCCCATCCAGGAGTCATCCAGAAGCCCACCCAGAGTCATGTCATTACAATTAAGAAGCTTCTAGTGCTCTTGTCACTTAGGAAATGACAAGAATTTCAGAAACTCTGTGTCAGGATCCAGGGCACAGAGACTCCTATATAGTTCCTAAGATCACACAATTCAATTGTCTCAACTGGACAAGGTGAACTAGAGAGTCATGTTCATCCACAAATCTCAGGCTGTAAACTGTGACTCTTGTGTTACTGACGACACATCCATACTCGATATGTTAATAAGCACCTGGGTCATAGACACAATTTTCTCTTTCACCCATCTGACAAAAAGTGAGTCACAACTTCTTCAGACTCACCTCATCCCCTCTCCCTCCCAACACAGGTTCCTTTCTCCCCTCTGCTCCTGCCTCCCTCAGGCCTTCAGTCTCTCCCTATGGTGCTTCAGGTCTGAACCCCATCTCTATGTTAGGATTTCAGAGAGAAGTAAAATTTTACAGTAATTTCCACTCTCTAGGGTTCATGTCTAGTGATGAGAAGTCGCAGAAAGTGGACTGGCAGGAAATCGCTCAACATCTGATTCTTGCTCTCATCTCTGCTTGTAGTTTTCATGCCCACCAGCCTCAGTAAATCTCTGTAATATGACAACAATATTATTGTGTTTGTGACAAATGAAGGTTCATTCAGCCTTTGAGTATTTGCCCACAAAAGCCATTAGTACAACGAATTTTCCCCCTTCAAACTTACTGAGGTTCCACAAAAGGTAACTGTTGACATAGCCAACAAAGGAAGGATTGGCTACATAGTTCCAGACATGATGAATTTTCCTGTTTTTGAGAATATTTGTTTCCGAGGCCATCAGGAGACTAACGCAGCCACACAATTTTGTTCCAATCATTGAGGTCTCATGTATTAGCCTTTTTCCAAAATAAAAAAGGCACTCTTTCATGGTCACCGCCAAGGAGGCATCCAGGGACCTTGGAGGCATAGTGGGGGGGGGGGTGGCTCTGCTGTGAAGGGCAGGAGGAAGGGACTGTGTTGTCACCCCTGTCTTGTGCTTCCTGAGACCTGAACCCACAGATGTGGGATATGTATCTGTTGGGTAAAAATGGACTGAAGACCCATCCCCAAGATCCAAATTCATGATTCAATGGAATTCCTATCAGAACTAATCTGCACCAAATTCCTCTTCTTTGTGTAAATTCCATCCTTGTGCAAGGGAGGTGACTTTGAAGACACTAGCCTTCTTTAGCTCCAAGCTCCAGTATACAGGAGGCTCTTTAAAGTGCCAGCCCCAGCGATGGATTTGCATGGAGAACAACACTCAGGGAGCAGACAGAGGACATTAGAGGGACAGGAGTGCACTTGTCTACATAGTTGGCCTCTGAAGGAAAGACTTCCTGGGGATACATGGAGCATATTCTCTCTCTCTCTTTCCTCTCTCTCTCTCTTTCTCTGTCTCTCTTACACACACACAGACACACACGCAGATGCACACACACACACACACACACACACACACACACACCTCTCCTCTGAGTGTATAGTGTCCTAGATTCTTCAGTTTCCCAGCATCTCTTTCTCTCCAGAAATCATAGTCAACATGTACTCAAACAGTACCACCAGGGTCAGAATCCCAGGAGGCAGAATCCCCATCATCAGAAACACCAGCAACATCCAGTGTGACTGGGGTCCTGTCACAAGGGCAACCAGCACATGCTCTGAACACCTGTTCTCCTGGGACAAGGCTGATGCTCAGGAATCCCAAGGAGACTCTCTGTCCCATGGGTAGCTCATTCCCCGACAATCTCTGGGATCCAGCCAGCCCCCAAGGCTGATCAGTTCATTGATTCTGGGACAGCATCTTCAGTGATGCTCCCACGGAGCTCAAGGTACATGAGGACATGCGGGGGTCACCGCTTCAGTCTTCCCAGAGACACCTGCACCAATCTGGATCTCTGCTGAAAATTCTTCTGTCCCACCCAAGGGCCACAGTGACAGTGACCTCACGGAGACAGTTTCCCTTATCTCTATCTCTCCACCAGTCACATATGGAATCTTTGACAGAAAGTTTTCAGCCCAGTTGGCCTCAGATAATAGAAATGCGTTCCTCTACTCATTGATGTCTGAATGAGCTTTTTTTCTATCCTGAATATGCTGGACACAAAGAACAGAGGTAGAGCTGTGTTCACCCCAGAGACAAGTCTGACCCCAAATCGCTCCTTCCTGGAAGCTCCCTCAGTGCTTGGTAATTGCATCTCAGAGATGGTTCTGGAGTTCATAGAAATAGGTCCCTCATGGGATTTCACTGGACATCATGTCGGGCTCTCCTACCTGCAGAAAAATTCCACCATGCTATGCTAATGACAAAGAAAACATGATTTTTGAAAAACTTTATCGACTCCTATTCAACCTCCAAGAGAAAGCATCCCTTCTACATTGTTCCCACAATTTCTATTTTTCTCTGTAGTAAATACACATCTGTGAAAAGTATCCTAGTGATTGTATCTGCATTTTCATAAGAACATTGTCATTGAGTTTCAATCAATGTCACTGAGAGAAATTTTTTATACAGAAGCATACACCCATTTATTTTTTAAAATTATTTTGTTGTATTTTTTTAATATGAAATTTACTGTCATATTGGGTTCCATACAACACCCAGTGCTCATCCCAGCAGGTGCCCTTCTCAATGCCCATCACCCACCCTCCCCTTCCTCCCACCCCCCCATCAACCCTCAGTTTATTCTCAGTTTTTCAGAGTCTCTTATGGTTTGGCTCTCTCCCTCAAGTTCTCTCCCTCAAACTTTTTTTTTTTCTTCTCCTCCCTCATGGTCTTCTGTTAAGTTTCTCAGGATCCACATATGAGTGAAAACATACGATATCTGTCTTTCTCTGACTGACCTATTTCACTTTGCCTAATACTCTCCAGTTCCATCCACATTGCTGCAAATGGCCAGATTTCATTCTTTCTCATTGCCAAGTAGTATTCCATTGTATACATAAACCACATCTTCTTTGTCCATTCACTACTTGGTGGATATTTAGGCTCTTTCCATAATTTGGCCATTGTTGAAAGCGCTGCTATAAACATTGGGGTACAAGTGCCCCTATGCATCAGCACTCCTGTATCCCTTGGGTAAATTCCTAGCAGTACTATTGCAGGGTCATAGGGTCGATCTATTTTTAATTTTTTGAGGAAGCTCCACACTGTTTTCCAGAGCAGCTGCACCAGTTTGCAACCCTCAGTGCAAGACAGTTCCCATGTCTCCAATCCTCTCCAGCATCTATAGTCTCCTGGTTAGTTCATTTCAGCCACTCTGACTGGCGTGAGGTGGTATCTCAGTGTGGTTTTGATTTGTATTTCCCTGATGAGGAGTGATGTTAAGCATCTTTCCATGTGCCTGTCGGCCTTTTGGATGTCTTCGTTAGAGAAGTGTCTGTTCATGTTTTCTGCTCATTTCTAAAGTGCACACTTGGCTAAGTGGTGACTAACACATAAACCGTGTCACTGGAACCCTGTCAGAGCACCTGCTGCGCTCACTCCTTCCCTCTTGGAACTTCCTGCAGGTTTGCCCTTTGGGCTCTGTGTTCAGTGCTGCACACAGGACCCCTGCATATTTGTATCTGTGTGCTGGGGGGACAGATCCTGGGAGGAAATCACTAACCACAGTGTGTGGAGAACTGTCATCTCAAATAAGCAGACATAGTGACAGATGGCAAAGATTTTTATTGCACAGTGCCCTTAAGAATACACACAGTTGTTCCTTCCCACAGCACTGAGGACAGAAGGAGAGCTTCTATTCAGGCTGTGGGAACCTCAGAGCAGGAGAGACCTGGAAACCAGGGAGGAAACACATAATAGGAAAGAACACAGAATCCTACGCAGAAGGGGCCACGTGTCCTTTGGTACTCACCACAGCTCCAGACATGATTCTGATCTAAGTGGCGTTTTTGTAGAAATACCACCTCAGTCCTGACCCATGAAATATACAGGGAAACATGGCCTGGCTTTTCCGGAGGAGTCTGAGAGAGCAGAAAGTCTGGTTTGAGGATATGGGAGGCTACCCAGGAGGATACCTGGCCTGGCCCTAGGAAAGGGGCAGTGGACAAACAACGGGGGACAGGAGCTCCTTTTATGGGCTCTGGTTACCATTTTGCACAATGATGTTTCTGAGTCTGGACACAAGGGGGCTCTCAGGGCCCATTTCTGAGGGTTCAGGGGTGATGAGACCTGAGACCTGTCACCTGCACTGCCTGTGCCCTCTGCTCAAGACTCATAACTGTGACTTCCGCACAGCCTGGCCCCACACAGCCATTCCTCTGCCCACCCCCTGGCATCCACAGGCAGAGGCACCTGACTCGGGTCCAGTGAGGGCTCAGAGAGCTGGGGAATCATTTGCATGGACAGGCCCTCCCTCTCTCAGTGGATAAAAAAGTGAGAGATTAGGGGAGGTCTGCTCAGCTGTGGGGCACAGAAGACAGGACTGGTGATGGTCTCCACCATGTCCTGGTCTACTGTCCTTCTCACCCTCTTCACTCATTGCACAGGTGATTGGATGTGGGGACAGGGGAAGGGGCTCTGGGGGGACACGTGGGCCTTGCTTCCACCCTCTTGTGTCCAGACCCCGGCTTTACCCTGTCTGTATCTCTTCATTTTCCAGGGTCCTGGGCCCAGTCTGTACTGACTCAGCCATCTTCAGTGTCAGGCTCCTTGGACCAGAGGGTCACCATCTCCTGCACTGGAAGCAGCTCCAACATCGGTAGCAATTATGTGAACTGGTACCAACAACTCCCAGGCACAACCCCCAAAACCACAATCTATTGGGATGATAGCAGACCCTCGGGGGTCCCTGAACGATGATCTGGCTCCAAGTCTGGCAGCACAGGCACCCTGACCATCACTGGGCTCCAGGCTGAGGACGAGGCTGATTATTACTGCTCAGCATGGGATGATAGCCTGAGAGCTCACACAGAGCTCCAGGCCCGTGGGGAAGTGAGACAAAAACCTGCTGTTCCCACACTGATGCGCTTTCCTTGTGCAGCCCCCACCTTCTGCCAACACAGCTGCTTCCCTAAAACGGAGGTCTGAAACCCAAACCAGTGAACTTTCTCTTGAGTATGTGTCCTTGTCCTCTCAATTCAGACACCAAACCCTGTCCCTGTAGGAGCACATTTTCTGTTTTATGCAAACTGAGCAGAAATTCCTGGATGCTGGGGCCGGTTGCCCTGGGGACAGAGTCCTTGAGGATTGTGCCTGCCTGCTGGGGCTGCCATAACATCATACCACCCACTGGGTGAGCAAATCAAAAGATATTTATTTTCTCACAGTTTTTGAGGCTAAATGTCCAAGTTCAAGGTGGTGCCAAGTTTGATGTCCCCTGAGGTCTCTCTCCTTGTCTTGCAAGTGGTTACTTTCGTCCTGGGTCCTCACGTGGCATTTCCACATGTGCTCACCCATGCTGTGTACCTCTTCTATAAAGTCTATGAAGTCACAGTGTGGGTTTCCATTTAGGAATCTACGGGGACACAGTTCAGTCCATATCAAAGCACCAGGACAGAACCAGCGACACAGAGCATAGCTGTGTCTGACTGAGGATAGTCAACCGTCCACATGCTCTACATGCGTGGCATTGAGAGAACCCTCACTACATGACCTATGTGGGCCCGGGGCTCAGATCACAGTACAGAAATGACAGGGAGGGTCCCCATGCTCACAGAGCTGACACCGTCTTGGGGAAGAAAGAGGACGCATAAGCCAAATGTACTGTGTCTCACACTGACTTCCCACATGGGGAAAATGTGTCTGCAGTCCCAGGTAATGTCCACACAACATAACATCTGGATGACAGAGACTGGCCCTTACGGACCCACTGGTAAGAAACCCCAGCTTTCAGGATGACTGGATCAAACCACCCCACCCTCTGCCCTGACAGCATCATGGCAACCGGGGAAGGGACACCTATTGCTTTGGGTAACACAGTGACTGTCTGGTGGGACCTGGACTCACTGACTAGCCGTGTAGTTGGGAGATTTGGGGTCCAGGTAGAAGAAAATGATGGAAGCTTCACCAAAGAAGTCCCAGCCACCTGTATCATCTTCCCTCCATCCTCCGTGTTGTTCAGGTCATAGCACGGACTATGGACAATCTGCACAGGAGACACAGGCCAGGGTCTTTATGTCTCATAAAACTACAGCTCAGCCCCCAGACCATTCGGATGCCCTTGTACCAGATCAACTCCAGCCCAACACACCCTCAGAGGCACGAGGTTCTGACCTGCAATGCAAACAGTCCCATGAGAAATAGAAAGCAGAACACATATTCCTACTATGATGGCCTCCTATTCCCAGAGGTTGTTAGAAGGTACAAAGTTTTCCAGAAACCTTAATGGTGACCGTTTCCAGACCGCCATGCACCGGGGACCTTTTCTTTTGCTCTCACTCTGTCGGGTGAAGAACAGACTCAGGGGCCAGTACAGGAACAACTCTTTTGTCCACACAGTCCATATGGGACTACTCCTGCTCTCAGGCTCCCTCAGTCACCTCTGTGTCATTGCTGAGTGTCCCCACTTCCCAGGGTCCTGGTCACAGGGAGTCAGATCACTGTTTGCCTGATTCCAATTCCACTGTGACTCTGCCTCTGAAAGACACAAAGCTTACTACTAAGAGTCAGAAGGGGCGCCTGAGTGGCTCAGTTGGTTAAGCGTCCAACTCTTGGTTTTGGCTCAGGTCATGATCTCATGGTTCATGAGTTCAAGCCCCACGTCAAGCTCTGTGCTGACAGCATGGAGCCTGCCTGGGATTCTGTCTCCCTCTCTCTCTACCCCTCCCCTGCTCTCTCTTTCTCTCTCTCAAAAATAAATAAGTAAACATTAAAAGAAGTTAAAAAAAAAGAGTCAGAAATGAACTCTCCTGTTTTTCCCACACTTGGAACACTCTTTGCCAGTGTCCCTCCTGAATGTTCTCTCTCTATTCATTTTTTTTTTTAATTTTTTTTTCAACGTTTATTTATTTTTGGGACAGAGAGAGACAGAGCATGAACGGGCGAGGGGCAGAGAGAGAGGGAGACACAGAATCGGAAACAGGCTCCAGGCTCTGAGCCATCAGCCCAGAGCCCGACGCGGGGCTCGAACTCACGGACCGTGAGATCGTGACCTGGTTGAAGTCGGACGCTTAACTGACTGCGCCACCCAGGCGCCCCTCTCTCTATTCATTAATGTCATGTTATATCTCCAGGTCTAGGGTCATTTCTTTTCCCAAATTCCACTCTTCCCTTTTTCCTTCCTCCCCTTCCACTAATTAGTTCATGAACCTATACCGTCATCTCCTGTCTGTCGCCACAGTAATGTGGGGTGCATTGCAGGAAAAACACAGGGTCATTAGAGAAGAGTTTACTTCCTAGGAATCACTCTAGGACGTAAGAGAAGTCATTCATTTTTTAAAGAATTTGTTAATGTTTATTTATTTTTTGAGAGAGAGACAGAGAGAGAGGGAGAGCATGAACAAGGGAGGGGCAGACAGAGGGAGACACAGAAACCGAAGCTGGTTCCAGGCTCTGAGCTGTCAGCACAGAACCTGAAGCGGGGCTCAAAGTCATGAACAGTGAGTGTGACCTGAGGGAAAGTCGGACACTTAACCTACTGAGCCAGGCAGAAGCCCCAGGAAAAGTCATTCTTCCCTTAAAGATTTCAGCCTCAAATGACTTTTTTTTTACATGTCAAATATTATTTTATGTATTTTTTTATTTTTTTTTAAATATGAAATTTATGGTCAAATTGGTTTCCATACAACATCCAGTGCCCATCACAACAGGTGCCCTCCTCAATACCCATCACCCACCCTCTCCTCCCTCTCACTCCCATCAACCCTCAGTTTGTACTCAATTTTTAAGAGTCTCTTATGTTTTGGATCCCTCCCTCTCTAACCTCTTTTTTTTTCTTCCCCTCCCGCATGGTCTTTTGTTAAGTTTCTCAGGATCCACCTAAGAATAAAAACATATGGTATCTATCTTTCTCTGCATGACTTATTTCACTTAGCATAACACTCTCCAGTTCCATCCACATTGCTACAAAAGGCCGTAATTCATTCTTTCTCATTGCCACATCATATTCCATTGTGTATATAAACCACAATTTCTTTATCCATTCATCAGTTGATGAACATTTAGGCTCTTTCCACGATTTGGCTATTGTTGAACGTGCTGCTATAAACATTGGGGTACAAGTGCCCCTAAGCATCAGCACTCCTGTATCCCTTAGGTAAATTCCTAGCAGTGTTATTGCAGGGTCATAGGGTCGATCTATTTTTAAATTTTTGAGGAACCTCCACACTGTTTTCCAGAGTGGCTGCACCAGTTTGCATTCCCACCAACAGTGCAAGAGGGTTCCCGTTTCTCCACATCCTCTCCAGCATCTATAGTCTCCTGATTGGTTCATTTTAGCCACTCTGACTGGCGTGAGGTGGTATCTCAGTGTGGTTTTGATTTGCATTTCCCTGATGAGGAGCGATGTTGAGCATCTTTCCATGTGCCTGTTGGCCATCTGGATGTCTTCTGTAGAGAAGTGTCTATTCATGTTTTCTGCCCATTTCTTCACTGGATTATTTGTTTTTCAGGTGTGGAGTTTGGTGAGCTGTTTATAGATTTTGGATACTAGCCATCGATATGTCATTTGCAAATATCTTTTCCCATTCCGTTGGTTGCCTTTTAATTTTGTTGATTGTTTCCTTTGCTGTGCAGAAGGTTTTTATGTTGATAAGGCCCCAATAGTTCATTTTTGCCTTTAATTCCCTTGCCTTGGGGATGTGTCAAGTAAGAAATTGCTGCGGCTGAGGTCAGAGAGGTTTTTTTCCTGCTTTCTCCTTTAGGGTTTTGATGGTTTCCTGTCTCACATTCAGGTCCTTTATCCATTTTGAGTTTGTTTTTGTGAATGGTGTAAGAAAGTGGTTTAGTTTCCTCCTTCTGCACGTTGCTGTCCAGTTCTCCCAGCATTTGTTAAAGAGACTGTCTTTTTTCCACTGGATATTCTTTCCTGCTTTGTCAAAGATCAGTTGGCCATACTTTTGTGGGTCTAATTCTGGGGTTTCTATTCTATTCCATTGGTCTAAGTGTCTGTTTTTGTGCCAATCCCATGCTGTCGGCATGATTACAGCTTTGTAGTAGAGGCTAAAGTCTGGGATTGTGATGTCTCCCACTTTGGTCTTCTTCTTCACAATTACTTTGGCTATTCGGGGCCTTTCGTGGTTCCATACGAATTTTAGGATTGCTTGTTCTAGCTTCGAGAAGAATGCTGGTGCAATTTTGATTGGGATTGCATCCAATGTGTAGATAGCTTTGGGTAGTATTGACATTTTAACAATATTTATTCTTCCAGTCCCTGAGCACGTAATGTTTTTCCATTTCTTTGTATCTTCTTCAATTTCCTTTATAAGCTTTCTATAGTTTTCAGCATACAGATCTTTTACATCTTTCGTTAGGTTTATTCCTAGGTATTTTATGCTTCTTGGTGCAATTGTGAAGGGGATCGGTTTCTTTCTTTGTCTTTCTGTTGCTTCATTATTAGTGTCTGACAATGCAACTGATTTCTGTACATTGATTTTGTATCCTGTGAGTTTCCTGAATTCCTGTATCACTTCTAGCAGACTTTTGGTGGAGCCTATCGGATTTTGCATGTATAATATCATGTCATCTGCAAAAAGTGAAAGCTTGACTTCATCTTTGCCAGTTTTGATGCCTCTGATTTCCTTTTGTTGTCTGATTGCTGATGCTAGCACTTCCAATACTATGTTAAACAACAGCAGTGAGAGTGGACATCCCTGTCGTGTTCCTGATGTCAGG